CCCCGGCACCTTCCCACAAGACACATTTTTGAGAGACACAGTTCATTCTATAATGCCAACTTAGTGAGCACAATGAGGTAGGAATATTCCTTAAAGTTATTCCACATTAAAGGTCTAACACTAATTTAAATACATAGCAAAGTGCTTTCAACCCACATAAATATTTGCTCACTGAGCCAACACTAAACATAACATCAATTCAATTTCCCAGCGATGTAATATCAGGATGTCTGTGGCCACATCAATGTCTCCAGGCAGGAAAGGAAGTACGTCAAGAAAAGTTAGTAGCTCCGAAGTGCTGTGTTCATTCTGGAAGTTTTTACCATTTCCCTGTCTGAGTCTTGGAATCTACGGTGAAGGCAGATAATAAAAGACAGTGAAAAAGAAATAACTAGGGAATTTAGCAAATCCTACAAAATCAAGACTTGCTCTACTTCCACCCCCACCCCTCCACCCCTGCCCTGGACCCCACTACCTCTCCACCACCCCTCCCCACCCCAGTTCTATTTGGAGTAGAAAGTAGTGTTCACAAACTGATTGTACTTAAAATAGCTTAACCCTCTACTGGCCTCCAGTCAATTTCCAATCAAAGCAGGGGTTTCTGAGGCTGCAAATCTTTATGGGTGGAGACTGTCCATCTTTCTCCCAAAGAGCAGCTGGTGAATTTGAACTGCTGACCTTTCACTTAGAAGTACAACACATAACCCACTATGTCACCAGAGAACCTTAAACTCTTTTATCTTTGCAAATTTATTAAAGTACGTTTTGTACTGGTTTTGCAAATTGAATTTTTGTTTTATTTTGTTTGTACACATCATTACATAAACTGTAAAAAGCAAATTGAGACTACTTTGAAATAAAATTTTCCATCATTATTTCACTTTTTATTTACAGTTATATCTGTAAACAGGGAGATATGGTGGTTTAGCTGCTCTGAAAGAAATATATAGTCTCCTCCCATTATGATTTCAAAACTGTCTCAATGACAATCTGTTGGTTGTATATGATTGAGGTTGATTTTTAAA